GCTCTCAGGTGTACTTCCCTCTTTGAATATTGCCTGCAGCATGCATACTCTTCTCTAAGCACTAAACAAAAGCATTTAAAAAAAAACCCTTTTAACTGCTGTGTAATTCTGTGTTGAGGTAGTTTCTGATAGTAAAAGCGATAGGACTGTGTGCATATATAATGTTGCACACCTGTATACTCATAGCCGAATCTGCTCACCCCCCGACTAGTGCATCAGGCAGCCTGTGTCAGAAAACCAGCGCTGTTGTGCTGCTGACGTGATTCATGCGATCCGGTTTGGATTGAGGCAGGTATTTGCCATTCTATTTAAGAAGTCTGAGTTTTGCTGAACTCAATTTTGTGCAGAGATCTGAGAAACCACTGTAAAACTTTAACTCCCCTTAAAATGGGGTTAAAAAAATCCTCTCAGGTCATCAGGCAGCCTGTGTCAGAAAACCAGCGCTGTTGTGCTGCTGACGTGATTCATGCGATCCGGTTTGGATTGAGGCAGGTATTTGCCATTCTATTTAAGAAGTCTGAGTTTTGCTGAACTCAATTTTGTGCAGAGATCTGAGAAACCACTGTAAAACTTTAACTCCCCTTAAAATGGGGTTAAAAAAATCCTCTCAGGTTTTTTAATAGGAGCTAGTGCCTGTTTTGTCAAATGTCCTTGTATCGCTTTGTACATCTGTTACCTTGACAGATGTTAAAAAGATGCAGTTACATGAATAGAGTTCCGATTTCAATGAGTTAAATTTAGTAATTTCCATCTTAGGTGTTTTTCAGAGTTCCGTAGTTGTGTTCAGAATTAATTATGAGGATTAGACGCTCTATAAGCATACCTACAGTTTATAACAATATTTTTAATATCAAGTTCCTGCAAAAAATGTGTAAATGCACAGTAGAACACAGCTAATGAAAGCGATGCAGAATGTTCAGTATTACTAACTGCAAAATGCACTGATTTTTTTCCTTTTAAAAAGCGTATTCAGTATGCAAAAACAGACTCTGATATCATCTCTAAAATGCGTGGTACTTTTGCTGATAAGGAAAAAAGGAAGGAAAAGAAGAAGGCCAAATCTCTGGAGCAGTCAGCAAATGCAGCAAATAAAAAGGTTATCCAGGTAAGCTGCTTCTCTGTTTAAAAAAGGATAAACAAACGCACACAAAAGCTATTTTAAATTATTTTTTTAGGATTAGGATTGTCTTTTGGAACTTCTCAATTCCCTGAGTTGTGGTCTATTGATATCCAGTGCTCTTGAGTACTCACTAGAAGTTAAAGGCTGATTACATAGTCCTTCCCGTTCCTCCCCGCCCCCCCCCCCTTTCCTATTTTCAGATGAAAACCAACATGTAGGGCAAAGGTACAATAAACCAAAGTAGAATCTAACCGCTTTTTAAAAAAGAAAAAAAGGAGGGGGTATGCGCTTATCTTTAATGCCGGCTTCAAGCGCTCAACCCGCTTTTCCCTTTGGCGTTTTAATGCCCTATTTGCTCTGTAAGCACTGAAGAATGGTAAATGGGAACACGATAATTCATTTACAGGTGGGTGGAGAGGAGTTGGCTTGGAATGTATCTCCACTAAGGGTTGGCCTGGCCTAATCTAACGACACTTAGTAATTTATGTGCTGAAGTATAGCAGAAAACATCAAGGCACAGAGTTTGAATGTTGTGTTACTTAACTACGCTTCCTGCTAAGGCACAAATTGGTATCAAGGAGAGATAAGTGTTCATAGAAAGCAACGTTTCCTAGGTAGAATATTCAGATTTCTCAGGATTTATTAAAAAAATCAATCGTTATATACAAATCTCTTAGGAAGAAATAATTGCTACTAGCTATAATGGTAATAGCTTTAGTTATCCTTGCTAAACTGGAGTCCTTGGTGGAAACACCTATTTTTCTCCTATTAGGTATGTCCTGACTAGGCCTTCATTTTCAAAACTACTTCCTTCCTGTCTATTAAACCAAATTTTATAATGTGGAGAAATAGTGATTTGCAGTATCTGCTGACTCAGCCATTAGTCAGATCAGATACTACTGATGTTTTTGCTTTGATTGCCTGGTTTTGGAGTTCAGTGAAATTCACGTGCTTTATGTTTCCCTTTGGGAGGTATCTCATAAGCAACAAATGTTCCTTGGATTGTAGTGTAAAGAAACCTTAACATGCTTCTTGAGTTGTGCAGAAACGTGGTGATGTGTGCTTATATATTTCTAACAGAACACCATTGTAAAACTATTTTGTACGTATTTACTAGGGAGCAACACAAAATTCAGCCAATGCCCCAGGGACTGCAGCACAGAATCAGCAGGTAATGCCTTTTTTTTGTGTGTGTGTGACTGAAAGCACTAATGTTTAAAATTATTCTCTATGAATAATTGTTACACATGGAAGCTTGAGGATATATTTTACAGCTTCCTTTTTGTTCTGCGAGACATTTGTCTAACAGCTAAATCACAGTAAACAAAAGAAATCCCACTTTTACTATATCTGGTTGACATGAAATGAAAATCTGCAGTTTCTCATTATTATACAGAAAACTGCACTATTAACAAATCCTACTTGATTCTTAAATTTGGACTGTGCTTAGTATCAGTTGAAGGATTCTTAATTTTTTTTTCATTGTTAATAAGTTCCCTTTAACTTATTTTGTTCTAGTAGTAGAAAAGGAGAAGGAAGACTACGCAGGGTGCCAGAATATCGGCCTAAAAGCTTCCTTTCTCTCCCCCAAAGGAGTTTGGGGGTCCTCTGCTCACTTTTTCTTTTTTCTGATAAGTGTCTTATTTTCCAAAGGATTGTGTGGAGATGTAGCAACAACTCCCTACGCTTCACTCGTGTCCGCTCAGTGGCCTTCTAAATGATTGGTGTGTGTTAGAAGTGGAGGTACTAAAGAGCCCAGATTTGCAGGAAGGCAAATACTACAGAAGACTCTTTGCCTGCCCTGCGTCTCTTTCCTGAGTACTATCATTGAGGATTGCTTACATAATCCACAGGGGAAAATGTCTTGCTCCCAGTCTGGGTTTTCTTTCAGGTGTCATTTGTAACAAGGCACAATATGTGTATGTCAGTTTGCATCAAAGCGCAACACTGAATATTTAGGTATTTTTCTTTGAACTTCAGAAGTTTATTTTCTAATGGCGCTGCCTGGAATATTTCCATCAGCTGAAGGAAATTGTTCTGCTGAGGCGTTACCTTACTTGGCACCGTTATTAGGACGTTTGAAGTTGTGGTGTCCAGTTTCTTTTTATTTTTGTAATCTCCTTGATGACTTAAGGAGATTCCAGCCTTTCAGTCCAGTGTCAGCAAACGGACTACTCAGCCTTGTGTCTGGTGGGTTGCTACAAATCCGTATTAGCAGGCAAATCTGCTAAAGACTCTAAAGCTTTAAATCTAATGGGTTTTCTAATTAATAAGTTTGAACAGAGCACTGTAGTAAAACCATGTGGGTTTTGTGGGTTTCAGTTGCCCAAAGATATTCAGTATTTCAGTACTACTGCAGGTGAACAGGGTATTTATCTTGGCCTCCCACTGCTCTTCCAGAAGGACGCGAGTCTTTCACAGGTTCTTCCGCGGCCACACAGGTGTCTTGGACAGCACTACAGCCAGTACTTAGGCACCTGGGTCCCACCCCTGGCAGTGCTGAGAGTACTGCAGTATCAGCTGTTGAGTTGTCGAGTTTAAATATGAGATTTAAGACAATATGTTACTGTGGTTTTTGTGGAAATAAGAGCCTCTCCAAATTAATACATCCTTATAAAAGAACCAAGGGGCTCTGCATATTGCATGAAGGTATACTGAAGTCCAGCTAGCAGCGCTATGAGCAAAACTAAGGATATGTGAGTCTCGGTTCAAATAATCATGCAGACAGATGCAGAGGAACAGATAGCTGTGTGTCATCTTCTGAGCTTTGATCTTCTGTTGTTGCAGGTGCCTGATAACCCACCAAACTATATCCTTTTCCTTAATAACTTGCCTGAGGAAACGAATGAGATGATGCTGTCCATGTTATTCAATCAGTAAGTTTTGAATAGAAAGGCCTTCTCCTTTGAATTCTTCTGTTACCTGTATGCTTTTTCTCAGCTGGCAAGCTGACTTTTTAGAAATAAGAGTTTCTTCTGAAGGTATTTCAGTTCTTTGTCTTACTGCCAAGATTACAGATGTCAGTTCTGATGACTTGGTGCAGAAAGCAAATCTGAACTTTTTTGTAGCTGGTTTTGATTGTGTAAGTTATCTACTATCAATCTGCACCAGATTTAAGCTGGTGACTGTAATATTAAAGACTTTACGACAGCAGGAGCAGTTTTAAAACAAGCGTTAAGTTGCTTCCGTATGTGCACAAGACTGATTAAATTGCTTCCATGTAATGATCCTTAATTGAGGCATGGTTCTAAGGACGGGACATGTAAACCCCTTCAAATTAAATCTTTCATTAGTAGTAACTATTATACTAGTAGATGCTTATGATAAGGTCTTACGGCTACTGAAGAGAGATGAATTATCAAACTAGGAAATATTATCTGACTTTTTCACCTTATTTTAAAGGTTTCCTGGATTCAAAGAAGTACGCTTAGTGCCTGGGCGCCATGACATTGCATTTGTGGAGTTTGAAAATGAGAATCAGGCAGGAGCTGCTCGAGATGCTCTCCAAGGATTCAAGATTACTCCATCTCATGCCATGAAAATCACTTACGCAAAGAAATAACCGGATGCTCCTATAAAGGACTTCTGTGGATAGTTGTTTTTTTGATATGACGATACTTTGATCCACTAGCATGTTTGCTGTTCTCTGCAGAAAACTTAAGACTTGTGTAAAATTGCCACAACGGCCAGAACAGACGTAGGATTTCCACGGATCTACTGGATAGTAAATGTGTTGTGTTGAAATACTAATTTTTATAAAATAAATTCAGTTTATGCTGTTTTCAAGCCATGTTTTTCCTCGAATCCGTCTTATTATTGATCTGTTAGGCTTGCAGGGCTTACTCAGTATATTGGTTTAGCTACTTTTAAGATGACACTCATTTCTCAGAAGTGAGTGCTGGAAAAATAGCTGTCTTTCTAGAGCAAAAAGCGTGAGCAGGAATGTCAGCATATTCAGAATAAATGCAACACTCAGTCTTCAGCCTCATTATCAAGGGGACAGCTGCTTTTCAGCAAGAATAATTTTGTCACTTAAGAAAAACAACTTACCATTAGTGAGGTTTTCTTCCAGGTATGGGTAGAAATTGATTACAGTTTGACAGCACTGTTGCTCAACTTGGTTTTGTCTTTCTAATGATGGCTGGTAGTAGAAGCAGGTCCACGGAAGAAACATAAAAGTTTATCTGTTGGCTTCTCTTCTGCTCTTTCCAGCCCTATTACCAGTGATTTTAATAAATGGTTTAGAAAGGGCTTTCTGGCTCTTTACAAAGACAATGCGGATGAGCCTGATGGTCCATTTTTAGGCAGGTTTTTCCAAAATGCACGTCCTAATGCTTCTGGGTTTGTTGGGTGTTTTGTTTTGGGGTGTTTTTTTTTCCCATTTGTCAAACCTTTACAGGTCTTGTGTGACATGAAATACACTGAATGCAGTGAAGTAATCAGATATAGTCTTGTGAGTTGTAACTGTTCTAAATATTTGGGTGCAAAAATCACTTTGAAAGCTGAAGTGTTTCGTTCCGGTGATGGAAGACCTAGATATTTTAGGTTAAGAGAATAATGCAATTTCCTTAAAATATGATTATATTTTTGGTGAATCTTGCAGTAGCTGTTGCATGGTGTTGGCTAGCAGGATTGCAATCGGACCCTTGAAGATTAATGTTTGAGAGGAAGCGGTCACACAGCGCTTGTCATGTTGCACCATTCCTCGCTTCTTGAACACCTTCTCTGTGAGGCCTCTAACTAGCCTTTCAGACAAAAAAGTAATGGGATAGAGTTCCTTTATGGTTTCCTTTAGAAGCAGTTCAGGTAAGTATTGGAGTAGCTGATATTTAGGCAAGAAACTACAAGGAAGAATGTTTTGCATTGTAGCTGCATTGCAAGTGTTGAGGTTTTTTCTGTTTCCAAAGTAATTTGGTCAATGGGGGCGGGAGGAAGGATGCTGGAGGCCATAGCCTTTCCTCTGACCATGGCTCGGTGCAGTCCCTTCCTGTGTTGTGTGGGCTTGGCTGTAGCTGCAGAGCATCTATTTCCCCCAGTTTTGTGTTCTGAAACAATTGAGATCTGACTTAAAACTGTTCTTTGGAGAAAGTGCTGCACCTTCAGGAAAGTATGATTGATTTTTATAAAATCTTGGTATACTTCTTGGTATATTATATATGGTAGTTCTGGCATGTCCACTCAATTTCTGAGCAAGTGCTATGTTTCAGTGCATCTGTAAGCATAAAACTAGCTACATAAACCACCTTTTTTGCACGAGACCTGAAAAATCTTTCATCTTCTGCTCCCAGAGTACAATGCAAGATGATGTCCCTTCCAGCGTCATCTCGATTAGTCATAGCTTCATACGTGTATTTTTTTCATTCTTTTTAGTGATTTTTTGTGTGTGTGTGTGATTTCACAAGTATTCTAATACTTGCAAGTGAAAAATCGTTTCAATGTGCCTGTAACACAGGAGCAAAAGTGACTATGTTATTCCATCATGAACCTTATGTTTTTCCTTCTGCAGTCATAATTTTATAGGTATTAATTATGCCGTCCTTGCATCCCACTAGTCTGCGTACATGAGACTACCACTGCATACTACCGCTCTTGACCTTTATTGACTTAGAAGGGTTTGTGTGGAGCTGTCTGCAAAGGAAGTTAGACACTACATACGGGAGGTTGGAGGAAGGGGTAATGGGCTGGAAGATTAGAGAATGTGGTGAAGTCAGCTGTAACAGGAGGGTGATGCTAGAAATTGCAAGATGCTCTTTTGAAGAAAGAGTGTGGGATTTTGGATGACAGTTGACAGCTTCCTCTGTTCTGCTTGTTGACTGAAAGCTGGTACAGCCAGCAGCTCTTCAGGCCTCCTTGTGAATCAGGTAGCGCTGGTTCTCTGGAGTTTTGGGAATTCCCAAACTTGCTCTTGGTCACTTTTAAGGACTGATCCAGACCAGCCTTCTGTAGCCTGACAGCTGTGATGTGAATCGCCTACAGTGCAGTAACTCCGGTGGTTGTTCCTTTTGTGCATGTGTGTGCACATCTATTTCAATTAAAATACTCCCTACAAGTCTTGCCTCATGTATGCTAGGACAAGATTTTGGGAAGTTAGATGAATTCTAGATGTCCTCTCCAAGGCATAAAGAGGACCTTTTAAGTCAGCCTGTGGCACTGTATGTTGTTCAGCATCTTGCATCTGCAAACTCTCAATTGTAAGATGTATGTAAATAAAAGTGAAATGGTTGCTTCCTGGCTTAACCTGTGTGCTTTGCTCTCGACTGCGTCTCCCTGTGGAAGGGATCCTGCCCGTACAAGCATGTGGTGCTTGAACTCTTAGATTTCAGATTTAAATTGCTGACTTGCAAAGCCTTTTTTCTGGGTTTCAACTCCCTGTTGCTTTGTTTACATTTGTGTCCATGTGTTAGGGTCCTAGTAGGTCCTTTCTGTAGACCATAACAGGGAAATCTCTGCCACTGAGGGTTTACGGTCCAGTGAAGCTTACGCTTGTCAGTGAGCATTTGTGAAAACGAAGAACTTCAGGATTTGGAAGGATGTAATTTCCTTTGCTGCTTACCAGGTTCTGACAATTTTCATTCTCAAACTTTGCTCGAGGTAAGATTAAGATTATGGACAACTACAGGAAGGCTTAAAATGTTTAAATAATACAGTTGCTGATTGAAATGTCAATGCAGAATGGCTTTGGGAAGGGATTCGGTTTCCTGAGTGGACCCTGAGGTCTTCCTCCCGCCTGCAGCTCCTCTGGTGGGGTGGAATGTCGCCCCGACCCCTTCCCATTGGCCTGGCTTGTTTGTCCAGGTGTCTGCCTCTTCCATAAAAGATGGGGATTGCTGGACCCGGCGCGCATTCAGCAAGCACTGCAGCAAAGAAAAATGACACGACGTGTTTATTTGGTTGTTCTACTTTTGTGTCTCAGATTAATGTGTCCTCTTGTAACTGGAATTTTTATGGACAAGCTTGCCAGCAAGAAGCTGTGTGCTGATGATGACTGTGTCTGTAAGTAATTTTGCTTTAATTTTAAGGAAAAAATAGTCTCAAAAATGACTGCCGAGTTTGGATGCGGTACTGCGAGGGAAAACTACTCTGCTTATTTAGCTCTGTTATATTTGCATTGGTTTGTCAACTTTAAAAGCAGAGTGGGAGGGTTTATGTGGAATGTCACATGCAGTTTTACTGCAAAAAGGGATTTGTAAAGGACATTTTTTCACTCAAGTGAAAGGTAAGTGTAGAGAGAAGGATTGTAACTTCCACTATGAAGAAATGGCACATTCTTAAGCTCTTACTTTGCTTACTGGAGAATAGAAAAATGAGCAGAACAAATTCTTGAAGACTTTTATTCATTTCAGGATAACCTACTTTTATCTGTAGAAATAGTTTTACATGTGTGCATACAAGCACATACGTATTTATATTTCTCTCTCTAAAAGTATATATGTATCTAAATTCGTCTGCCTCATTCTTTTTTTTTTTTTCTAGACACCATTTCCCTTGCCAGAGCAGAAGAGGATTATAATGCTCCAGACTGCAGATTCATTAATATCAAAAAAGGGCAGTTGATTTATGTTTACTCAAAACAAGGGAAAGAAGACGACTCTGGAGAATTCTGGGCTGGAAGTGTAAGAGGAGATTCTTGCATATATGAGCAAACCAGAAGTAGATTAACATGCATTTCTGTCAAGAAATGGATGCTAATGCTGAGCTATTGTGGGTTTTAAAGCAGCAACTTAGTTTTCAAAGCGAATGTTTGAACTTAAACTGATTGAGGAGTCTTGAGGTTTTTAATATATTTTTTTAAATGGAATATCTTCAATAACTATATAGTAATTATGAACAGAAGAGCTCAACAGTTCTTTTCTGTGGCTGTTTGCTGAAACTATGGAGGAGAAAGCTTCTATCATGGTCATAAAACTCTTAAATTTAAGGGAAGTAAAGATAAATACTAGCTGCATTTATAAAAAAAAATTCCAGATAAACTATAGGTGGTATTAATTCACTCCAAAAAATGTATGCCTGTATCAGAACTGTTGTTAATGGTTCGTTTCATGTGCCAGCTAATTGGAACCTAGGAAATCTAAAACCAGAGTTAACATATTAGTGACTGCTTTTGACTAAATTATGAACTAGCTCAAACCAGATGAGGACTGTTTTAAGGTACCTAATTATACATCTCCTTGCTTGAAGGTTTATGGAGAACAGTATGAAGACCATATGGGGACAGTTGGTTATTTCCCTAGCAGTTTAGTCTCAGAACAACATGTCTATCAAGAAGCAAATAAGACTGTTCCTACAACGGTAAGGAATTTGCAAAAGCCCAGCTGGCTACAGAATTATACTTGGCTGTATAATGCTAATTTGCTGTAAAAACAAATCATAATTGTGGCAGTTGATTGTAGCATATCACAGATGCTTAGGGATCCGATCTTTGGGCCTTTATACAGGCAAATAGCCTCAATAAAATCCTAACATACGCTCTGATATTGCAGACATTACAAATGCTGCATTAAGGGCTTGATCCTATTAGAGTTCCTATTGATTTGAACAGTATTCCTTCAAGGCCATGTAAGTTTTACCCAAGCCATTTGCAATACATTGCAAGAAGCTTTCTTTTTTAGAGTCTGGATATTGTGCTGCGTACTTTAGTAACGCGTACAAGCACACTTTCTATAAACTGTATATAGAGGGACATTGTCATAGAGAACGTCTGATTTACTCTTTTTCTGAGAAAACAAGCATGCTTTCACAGTTATTGGTACGTCTATCAAAAAGCTGAATTAAAACGCTATTGGAAACACATTAGTGTTCTGTGAGTAAGTAGGCTGTACTTCTGAAAGGGTGATTGTCCCTGATGATGTACAGTAGTGTCTCATACACCAGACAACTCTTAATTTTACTGAAGATCTGAAACACTTCACAGAAGAGTGGAAGAGGAGGGTCCTTTCTCAGAGGCTGGTATGGTTTGGCTTACAACTAACACTTACTGGTAGCTTATTTCTATGCTTAAAACAAATTGAGTGGTACGTTTCCAGTAATTACCTTCATCAATATTGAATATTTAGCTATATGCTGTTTTGAAGTGTACGGCAAAATACAATTAGTGCTTCAATATTGAAATCGTATATGGAGTTTTTAATCCCAGGTCCAGATTACTAGATGGGTTTCATTAACACAGAGGAAATAAGTGAAAGGAAGAATTTTGTTTCATGTTAATAGTTGCTAGGATTTGTGTTATAATGTGTCAGACAACCTTTATTTGAGGAAATGCGAATCTTGGATAAGTGATTGCTTTTCTTGACACTACATTAGGTTATTCTGAATTTGGCCCAGAAGCATTGCAGCAATTAATTAGTCACAGAACATGAAAGAATGACTAAAATATGTTTCTAAGCTCATTTCTCAACAATATGACAGCCAGTCTGCTGCATGGCAAGCTGAACGGCAAGCAGAGGTAGGTTAAAGCGATGTCTTAGCCTGCAGGCTGACTCGGGGTCCATAATGGGCTGTTGTCAGGCTGCAAGGCAGAACTTTAATTGGAAAGTGATTTTCTTTCACAAAACTAGTGACACAGACTTTCACAGTCGTTTCACCCTTACTTCACAGTCTCGCTATGCAGGAACTTTGCAACGAAAACGAAGGGTGATACAGATACATTCTTTTCCTTGTTCTACTGCTCCCCACTTGTGTGTTGCAAACGTGACCTTAAGGATCTGACTCTTTCTAAGTTCACATTTCAAACAGTCTACAGCCCATCTTAACCAATCTGTGTACGGGCATGCTGCTTGCTCCAGAAATATCCCTTAAAGGTGCCATTTTATACAGAGCTAGTGTTGCACACCGCCATAGATGCCTCTAATGCCATCAGCCTTCTATCTGCAAGTCAGAAGCTGGTCTCTTGCTCACAGCTCTGTAACCTTCCCCCCAGCCGCTGGCAATGTTTTTGCCTTGCTTTCCAGGCCTTGCACCTGCAAAGCCCAATATTAGTGTTATGATGGGTTCTCTTGAGAATGGGTTGCCATTTATATTAGGGGACCTGATGATGCCCAAAGCTTAGTGGTTAATCAGCATGTGGCGCCCGCCCCTGATCAGAGCACTGGGTGGCACACACAAATGGCCTTGCATGGAGGAACAACTGATAGGCAACTCGATGGGGGAAAGTGGG